TCTGCACTTGACTGGGCGGCAAACAGCGGTTGGGCTTTTGTGGCGAAGTTAGGGATGAAAGGTGAATAGTATTGGAGGCATTCCATGATGGATCTGAGTTAGTTTTGGTCTCTTGGTGACTCCAATTCAGTCATTGGACAAAGCGACTTGGATCAGGGCGGTAGCCTTTTTCATCAACTGTGAAGCCTAGGAACTCCAATCCTGAGGAACTGAACATGCAGTTGGAAGCACGAATTGACACATTCTTCTGAGCGAAACGTTCCAGGAGATTAGTGAGGCGTTCGTCATGCTCGGCTTTCGTTGCACCAAAAACAATGACATCATCTTGGTACGCTAGGACGCCANGCCATCAAGTCCATGAATGACTTCGTCTATGGCCGCCTGGAATATGCCGGAGGATGTGTGGAGACCAAATGGTAGAAAGTTGTACTGGTATAATCCCCATGGTGTATTGATCGTGGTGAATTGGTGGCATGCGGGATCAAGCAGGATCTGGAGGTAGGCGTCAGCCAAGTCAATCTTCGAAAAACATGTGCTGCCATGTAAAGCTTTTGTGAAGTCTTCTGGTTCCATGGTAGTGGTCGCACATTTTCGCAGCCGGCTGTTGAATGTTAGTCTGTAGTCACCATAAATTCTTGGTGTCTTATCATCACTTTCAATTGCGATCACAATCGGTGTTGCCCACGCGCTGGATGTTACTCGAGTGAGGATGCCGTCATACTCCGTTTTCTCCAGAGCTTTCAACACACCTTCACGCTGGCCATAAAAGATGACACGGCGTTTCAAAAAGATAGGTTTTCCCTCAACTTCCAGTTTGGCCAGTCGAACTTTCATGCCTCCTGTGTTATTTAAACATTGCAAAATCAGTCGCTATAGACGGGTGTGCACATTGGGCAGGGAACTCGTATGGTTCAGAGCGCGAATTGCGTTTAGTTCAAGTATGGATGGACTCTTTTTCGCAATAAGGAAGCGGATTGAGACAAGGCGATTTTCTGTTGAGTGAATTATCAATGAAACCTCGCCAATCAATGGTAATCGGTGTCCAGTTACAACAAGAATTCGCATGGATGTCGTTTGGATTTTTGCTTGGGGGCATATGGATCGAAGCACAGCATTAGAAATATTCCTCTGTTTGTTTCAGATGTCCCCCCAATGCTGGAGACTTATTTTCGTCGTGAAGTACGGCCGCACCCTCTTTATAGTTCGCATATTATGGACCCAGAAATGATGCCAACCAGAAGCAAAAAAACATTCTGCACCTTTCCTCTGCTGATCTCCTGAGATAATGAAAACGGGTCTAAGGTGGAACTACGCAAGCGATGATGATATTTCCTGAGCCACTAATGATTACAACTCTTCTGAAGGAAAAGGAAATCCGTCGTGAGGAACGGACAGAGCCTCCATGGAGTCTGCAGCTATCCCGACCTGAGAAAAAGAACACAACCAAAGAAAGATTTAGATTCGTTAGCTTGGGGAGTCGCCTAATACAAACCCGAATCTGTACACTTATGCTCCAGGTCAGAGCAAGATGCACGGTAGTGCATTTCTAATAGTTTTTTTCAAATCCTCTATCTCTTTGGCAACGAGACATATAATTTGATAATATAGCGATAATTTTAATGGTAGTAAAGTAGTCGATGAATCTATAGCAGTTATAAAGCTTTCTGCAGAATTAACTCAAAAGGCTATTTTCTGCATTTTCGATAAAAATTTAAACACTTTACATATCATCAGGCCAAGCAGACATTACCAGTTGGTATCACGTCAGCCAAAGACCATTGCGCTGTTGCCATATTGTCGGTAAACTGGTTTCTTGGCATCGAAGAGGAGGAAGAGGGTTCACAAGACGTTTATTACTGATTAAGTTATACCCCAAGCCACTTGAAATTTTTCCTCTTTTATTTTAATTTTATTTCAATGAATAACTTCTGCGCACTTATAACCCATCTTCACAGGATAAATTGAAGAACACTAACACACCCCCAACAGAGGAAGCTAGGGGGCGCCGTTTCTTAGGGTTTGGTAAAGTAAGACGAACCCTAAATCATACGGGTAACGGGTGCAAATGGTAGCGCTTGCTCGCTGACCAGCCCTGTAAACAAGGAGTGAGCCATTTTTATAGCTCACGAGGGGTTTTAGCTACAAACTTTTGTGCTGCCCCCAGACTACGACAACAATGAGAAACACCATTGGTAAACTACCATTCTAACCCTGTAGGCAATACCATCGAGATTTTTAACCCCCCCTCCTAGCTAAAGAGCGTTGCCTAATATACCTAAGCTTACCCAACCGTGGAGTGATCGGGTTCAACGTTGAATCCTGTCCTAAGTTTCTTCTTTCATTCCCCTAGTTATAAATGATTATGGCTAGGATTCCAGCCATTTCGAATGAAAACTCTATAGTTTGTCTGCCTTCTTTATTTGATTGTTTGCGATAGCAGAAACCAATAGTCCCCTCAGATAACTCGTACTTGATGCTTCTCCTCAAACCAGATTTCCGCAATGGAGCATTCGATCGCTTGATTCTGAGGCTTATGTCATGCCAGGTGCCTTTGATGAAACTTTTTTCAATAGCCGTTATTTTGCTAAACTCCGAAATTAGCCAATAAAACAAATAACTTACCTACATTATGCAATATTGTTATATATAAACAAGTGAGTATGTCTCCCCAGCTGACAGTTGCCATATATTTTAACCCCGTGTGACTCGGATGTATCACTTGACTTCTACTTGACAACGAATGTTTTTCTTCCGCAATTCATCGTTTTATACCAATAATCTTTTACATTTTTCATCTTTCTTCATCCCTATACATATCTGCGCTTATGCTGTCATTCTACGGAAATGTATCACTCTGAGTTTATCAGTGACCTTGAAGTTGTCTTGAAGTCTTGAAGTGATTCACGGGTTCGAGGCTGTTGCCCAAATGTCCCGGG